GGTATAGACCGCCATTTATGAATGTACCGAACGATTATTTGTATTTTAAATGTCCACCTCATTGTAGAAGGTACAAAAAGTTCGCATACTAAGATGTTAACTTCGCATAACTGTTTCGTCGTTTTCCTTGTTATATATTCTTGTTTATTTTTCTATTATTTCAAAATTCGAGCATATTTAGTTTTATTATGGAAATATTTGAAATAAAAATATGAGCTTTTTATTAATTTTATTGTTTTCTATTTCTATGTTTCATTGTATTTATATTTGTACATCTTATATAATAACGAAAAAATGGAAAATTTCCGATGCTAATAAACGAAAAATCTTTTTTGAAAAGGATGATTTAAAATTAACAAATCATTACTAAAATGCTAATAGAATTGAAATGAAAAAAAAACACAATAATAATAAATGAATAAAAAATAAAAATAATTAAACAAAATAAAAAATCTGTGCATTTGAAAGCTGTTGCCTAATTATTTTTGTTGTGTATATATATGAAGACCGGTCATGAAAAAGTAAGTATGTATAAACAAAGTTTTTGAAAGAAATGTGAATAAAATCTTTATAATTCCGATACTACAAACATTTCAATATTCTATCTTAAATATCAATATTCTATAACAATTATCAGTAAAGCGTTCCCTCATTTGTGTTTAAATTTAATTAAATGTCAATGACTTTTAGTCCGAGATCAATAAACTTTAGTACGTTATCAATGGCCTTTTTGGCTAGGCGAAAAAGAAACGTTATTTAGGGCGAAATCTGATGTCGACCTATGGGTCCCATTTTTATACCCTCCACCATAGTATGGAGGGTATATTATCATTCCGTTTGTAACTCATCGAAATATTCATTTCCGACCCTATAAAGTATATATATTCATGATCAGGGTAAAATTCTAAGACGATCTAGCCATGTCCGTCCGTCTGTTGTAATCACACTATCTTCTGAAGTTATTGAGATAGGGTTCTGAAATTTTGCATAGGTTAGTCTTTTGTCTGCAGACAGGTCAAGTTCAAAGATGGGATATATCGGTCCACGTTTACACATAGCTCCCATATAACAGTACCCCCCAATTTTCGGTATTTTGGGGTTCTTGACCGAATACGTTTTTCGACCGAATACGCTGAAATTTGGTACATTGAGTTTTTATTGGGTACTAAATGTCTCCACTTAAAATTATAAATATAGGTCCACTTTTTCTGGTAGCCCCCATATAACGGTACCTCCTTATTTTCAGTATTGTGGGGGTTTTGATCGCATTTTTTCACCGAATTAGCTGTAATTTAGTATTTTGAGTTTTTAATAGGTCCCAAATCTCTCCACAAAAATTATGAATATAGATCCATTTTTTCGGATATCGCCCATATAAGGGTACAACCAAATTTCGGTATTTTGGGGTTCTTGAACGCGTTTTTCAACCGAATTCGCTGTACTAATTTCGTTAGAAATAATAAGATGGGTAAAGTGTGGATGAAATCAAAATTTTTTAAAACAAATTTGGTCCAAAGAAACATGGGGTCTAGGACCAATATTTAGGACCATAACCGGTTGTAGAAATGTCTGTATAAGTACACTTTTTTGTATGTTCCCTATATTTTTATTTCAAGTATCTGTGAGTATATCTATGGTGGAGGGTATCCAAAGTTCGGCCCGGCCGAACTTAACGCTATTTCACTTGTTGGACTTAATCTAGGTTTGGTAAAAATATGACAATTTTCATCGGACCGAAATCGGACATTTCTTTTCAACATTTTGACACTACGTGCGGAAGTAATAAACCTACGGGTTCCATCTTTAGATATAATGTAGTTGAGGTGAAGATATTGCGATGTGCAAAGTTTCACTTATATTAGATATTCAATTATTATAGATATATTCGCCTGATGCGATATATACAAGTACAAGTCATGGTTAAAATATTAGGTTGTGAAAAGTTTTGTTCAAATCGGATAGTCCGTTCGCATGATATCACAAAATTAATTTTCAGATCATTTTGTGGGGAAGGTACCAGAAGAAGTAAGCCGATATTCCCCATATTCGATCTTAACACTAGATTGCCGAAGGCAGTCATTTTGACCGTTTTTCAATTTCAAGTACAAAAACAAATGTGTATATTATGACCCAGCTTTTTAAAATTTGGTGACTTTTTCTACCACATAGAACTACGTTTATTAATCATAGTAGCTGCTTCCTCCCCCCTATCATTCCCCGTATTCACACGTGCTATACCTATATTGCCTAAAAGCGGTCATTTTGATCTTTTTGAAATATTAAATAATCAAACTACTTTTATTATTGTATAAAGTGCTTTTCTTATATTACCAGATCAGTACAACAACATCGAAACCCGTTTGATACTCTAGAAACACAAACGAACACACAAATCGGGAAAAATAAATTTTATATTTCCAGTCGATTTCACTCTTTGAGTAAAGACTTCCTCTTTTTTTAACCTATTGTCCGCGTTCTTGTTTTTTATAAAGGGAAACTCGAGAGCCCTCCCGCATAAAACAAATTATAACAACGTTTTGTATGATTGTAAATAATGTAAAAAATATTAATAAATAAGTTTAAAAAAATTTCTTTACAAAATAAAAATTCTTTCAGAATGAAGTCATTTTGACCGATTTTAGGCAATATAGGTATATACAAAATTCCGGTCTTTCTAGTGTTAAACTAAGTTTCGAATCTATTTTGCGATGTGCAAAATTTGAACGAAATCTGTTACTCCCTTCGACCCAGACAGACACACAGGCAGACGAACGGATATTCGTAAATAAGCTCCAAATTGTCTGAAACAGATTTGGCCCAAAGAAAGAAACATGGAGCATTGAAGTTTTTTATATGTAAGAGCTAAATATAAATTACATCGTAGAGGTCTTCGTAAAGAAGGGCTAGAGAAGAGAATGCTTTCCGTCGCGTTTAGACTACAGCTTTTATCGTGATAAAGTGGATTGGCCCGATTTAATTACGAAATCGATCTCAATTCACCATACAAAATTATCATACAAATTCAAATCCACTCAATATCCCGATTTTTTTCAAAATCATATGCTAAGTCGTGATAATTTCAATACAACCTTTTTTGCACCATAAAATAGTTTCTCCTTAACCCTTTGTGGCCCAATGTTGCCCACAGGCAACAAAATGTTTTAGAGTTTATATTTAGTATGTAGGTAGTAGATATATATTCATTGGATTCATACGTCAAGACCTGATTATGGACAACATATATCAAAAGAAAATCTTAAAAATTCATATTTTTGGTAAAGCTATGAGCTTTTCAATATAGAGAAGAGGGCAAAAATGTATACAGTACAAATTTGTGTATACAGTTCAAAATATTTAAATCGCTTCGTATTCGAATTGTACGAATTCTGTCACCACAATTATTTTTGATTCTTGTATAAAAGAATGTAGAGAATAATTTAAAACGATTTTTCCGTCGATTTAGCATTTGCTTTCCTTGATTTAGCATTTGCTTTTCAGAAGGATGTAGCGAATGCAAGGATGTAGCGATATCAAATTTTGTTCATGTTCTAGTTAGAATAGTTACATTAAATCTGTAAACAGAAAATTGTTCTATGACTACGGAAAAAAATTCGGGGCTCAAAGGGTTAAAGTATGCTTATCTCCTAAAAAATGGCAGCTGGAGAACAATTGATTTTTTGAATTTATAATAAATAGAACTATAATTTTAAAAGAACAAACGTTTTATGAAACGTTTATGTCCTAATGGAGAGCAATTCTTAACAAAGTTATGAAAATGTTGATTGAAAAAAGTGCCATAAAAATTATCAGCCTGTTTTAGTAATATTCCAAACCTTCTAAACGAACGAAATCGAGTGACTTACGACCAAACTCCTTGGTTTTAAAAAATATGTCATTTATTTTATTTTAATACGGTATTTACATTAGAACTTTTCGCAGGGTTAACCTACTTTATGAGGATTTATTTGGCATATATTCAAAGGAATTGAAAATTTAAACCCACTGGGTTAACCAAATCCGGTTCTTTGTAAACGACCTTTAAGTGAAAAAACATTTTTTAAATGAATAAAGGTTGCATGAAAACAGTAAAATGTGTTTGTAAACAAATAACAGCTGATAAATCCTCTTCATTTCATTTTAATAGTGCGTTTAAATTTACGAAATATACTCGATCTTAAATATCAATTCCATAGTTTATACGTTAAAAATAATCCACTGGATTTGTGAACATGATTAAGGTGATGTATACGCTATGGAATTGAAATTTGGGATCGAGTGTATTTAGCAGTATAAAAACAGGCTTTAATACTAGTCTAAACAGTTAAAGTGTGTTTAGAATACAGCTTTGACCGTGATTAAGTGCATTACCTCGATTTAATTGTTAAATCGAGGTCAATTTACCACGATTTACCATGCAAAATGAAATCCACTCAATATCTCGTTTAACTCGAAACTCTATGCTAAATAAAGATAATTTCAAATACAACCCTGCGTTTGTCCCAAAAAAAAAATAAACGTTTCTCCTTAAGGTATGCTTTAATGACATGTTCTGACGGGCATCCGAACAACGTAGTTCGCTCTCAGAATTACGTACATGAATTAACCCGTTCATACAACACTATTCATAATTCATATCATCAGAGTTTTTTATTTCAACCTTTTTGTTTCTTGTCATTCATATATTAATGGAATTGACGATATAAACGACAAGTGTTATTACAATAAACTTTTTTGTACCCTAAATCATTCATAAATATAAACCTACCAATTGTATCAATTATGTTCGCCAACACTGTTCTGAATAGCCATGTGTCGGCAACTCTGTTTCCATAAACACATTTTCGACAATGTGGCATCTCTTACACCAACCAACCAAAACAGCTGATTGGTATTCTTGGGGTAAAGTTTTTTCTCGGCTGGTCATTTGTAAACAAAAATACAACGATTCTGATGAAAAATAGAAAATAAATCCGGATTGTTTTTTGTCCAAGTCAGAATAAAGAAAACAATTAACCGCTATTAATGCAGTTTATGCCGAGACGGGAGTATGGATAAAAAGAAAGACATTTACAATTTGTGGGTGCAGTACACGACGAAGGTGAGTGTCACCACCAACGGGTTGGATGAAGTGTGTGTGTCTGTGATTTGGGGAAAAGGATGATTTTGGATACTCAGTGGTTTTAAGATAATTTCCAAACATGTTCAATGATGATTCCAAAGAAGTTAAATGAAGCCAATGCTGAATTTAATGGTCCAAACATTCTTCACGTATTACTCATCGTCGTCAGCAGCGATGTCCATCCACAAAACCATAAACATTCCAATAGTTGACGATTTGTTGATATTTTTAACAACAACAAATAAACAAATTTAATATAAATAATTGTAAATCGATAGAAGTGCATTCAATTATGCACAGATTTGAGATTATATAATGGTAATATTGGGAACTACAAGTTACTACCCCCCATGCTGTATACCGGCTATCAGCAGTTACAAGGAGGAGTGAAGTGTTGTGTTTATTGTCTATTTTGGTGTGTGTGTGTGTTGATTTGTTTGCATGTGTAGGTTGCTCTACGTATAGGTGGGTGTATATTTGTGGGTGGTGTTAAGGGTTTGGCGGACATATTTTTGTGTAATAAAATGCCACTGCCAACCAACCAACCTATTCATCCTACCGCAATTTTTGTTCTTCTTCTTGTAATTCATCATAACAATGCTGGTCTGGTGTGTATATTAGGTTGGAGAGAGCATACAAATATTATAATCTATATTTAAAGAAAGTCAAATTCAATATGATGCGCATTTACTAAAAGATTAGTTAAATATTCATATATTCATAAAATATTCATATATCACAACGATATGGTGAAAATTAATATAAGGTTACGATATTTCATATTTAAAGGTTTAACTACCATTTTAAATTCAATTGGAATTTCGGAGGCTTAAGTTGAGTTTAGGTGTAGATGTCGTCTCCCTGATCACGAAAATATGTGACATTCATGGGGGAAGTACATTCTTCCCGAGATATGGGCCTCTGAAGTTCCGGAATTCAAATGCTCATTACTTCATATACAGAAAAATCCGAGATGAGCATCTAAATTCAACTTGTTACATTTCGGAATACAAATGAATAAAATACATTTTAAAAATCAATACAAGTGCACTTTTTGTAGCCCTTGTTTTGCGGAACAGCCAGCGTTGGAGAATTATCTTTTTGACAATTTAGAACTTAATATTTCTGTCGGAGAACTTAACATTTCTGTGGTTTCGATAACTTCCTTCATTTCTCCTCGCACTCCAATTATGTCAAGCATCACAAGAAATGAACTTCGAATTGCAACAGGTTGTGTCCTGACGACGAACATCGAATTCCTCCATTAAGAGACCAGGATACTGTCAGTCAAGCAGTGAAATGCTTCTAGCCAAACTTGTTCCCTTTTGAACAATTATGGTCCGGTTATTGTAATGTTCTTAATTCTTATCGAGAGCACATGGTTCCCGGAAGTTGTTAGGGAGTCCTCAATTAATTTTGTGAAGCAGTACCAATTGGCTTTAGATTAATTCATGAATGTACGCTGGTCGGGCTATACAAAATCTCTGGGATTCTCTACAGTGACTAGGATGGGGGAAAATGGTCCGAATTCAAAGCGACCTTGGTTTGCCAGTAAGTATACAGAAGGAGCGATGGACTGCCTATAGTAATGTCCGGAGGTCTATAACACTTAGCTTGACGTTGGTAGATTCCTCCGTGATGGTTCGCAATAAGTTGGGAAAACCAAGAATAATTTCATTATCTGCTTTCCGGAGATGGATCATACATGGATGATAACTAGCCCCAATGCTGTTAACGGGCGGAGTACATACGTTCACAACTTTAATTTCAGAATCTCTGAAATGCTCATAACCTCTAAGAAAGGATCCGACTTGGAAGGAGTTGGAGTGGAAGTCATGATATATCTGACATCGCGCAGACCCCACCATGGTATCTATTCCTGTCTTGCCGAATGGTATAAATCCCGAAGGAGGATAGGGAACAACTGCTGTGCAGCTTCGTTTTATTATTTTTTTTTTTTTTTCAAAACAGCAATGAGGATGTTGTTTTCATACATGAAGTTTGTGATGCATTGACTTGTGGATCGCTCCCCTGCATGGACTTGTGCTGTAGGTGCCCTCGGTGTTATGAGCATTCGATGTTAAAATTGGAGGAGTAGAAGAAGTGCTAGTCCGAACACTAGAGTGAGTCTGGATGGAGAGTGTTGCCAAGAAGGGGTGGCAATTCTCGGGGGGTTGTTGGAGATAAGCTGCTGGATGTTGTAGGCTGCAGACAATAGCTGGCAAGCATCTCCTCTAGTGATTTTAATTATTGCAAACAGTGCATCGTTCTGAAGTGGAATTTGCAGCGATGCGCAAATTCGACTTGGAGGTGTAAATAATCGGAATCCTACTATCGCCTATTATTAGAAGCCAAATATCGAGTGTACTCCTATCACTAACAACTTCCTTAAAAATAGTGAAGTAATATAGTTGTTCATAGTATTTACAAAACCTAAAAAAAAACTTAAATAAATTAAATTGTTTGAGTTTATAATAGAAAACGTATATGGTCCATTATCAGATAATACAATGCAAAAATAAAATATATTTTTAAATATGATACTTCTCACTCCCGGCCATTGTGGCCATCCTTTATTTATAAAGGACTTAATTATAACGAGCAATCAATATTCACAACGTTTACCAACTTGTTTAATTATATTCCAATTTATTTTCAGAATGAGGAATGTTATTTCCGAGAATTTATGGAACGTTTTGTTTCCATTTGGCAAAGTCAATTACCTTTGGATTTCTCGGCAGACGATTGTCCCTATTGGTATGAGGTTCAATCAGATCAGGGGCCTCACTTGGGTCGTTTACCCGATGAATTGTTACCGGCAATTGGTAAATTTATAATTGTTGCCAGTGATTCGTGTCAAAATGTATGTATGGCAAAGATGTTTTATATTAATAGTTATTGTTGTATGTTAATCACATTAATATTTTATTTGTTGCTTTACAACAGGGTGAAATAACTGATGAGACTATCCGTCAAATTGCTATATTGGTCGACTGTTTAATTATTGTATGTCGACACTTTGATAACATTTTGGCTATTATCAAATATGAATATAAGCCAAATTTAATTGCTATATTAACGCATGTATATCATCAGGTAAGTGATTACAATTTAAAATGAAATAATTTATTATATTATATATATGTGCATAAGTTATAATAATTGAGGTAGAAAAAATTGTCATTATCAGGAATTGATTTGATTGAATCATATATATCAAGATTATTAATATTTTAAGTATATATAAATTATTGTCTTTTTTTGTAGTGCATTGACAAGAAATATGCTTCGCCAGAGGTTGGACATTTATTTCGTAGTTTTTCACGATTCCTAGAGGTTATGTACGATCCATATTTGACGTGGCGTAGCTTTCTACGTAATAGTTTTGCTGACTATCGGAAATTATCGTACAAACCACATATGGTACATGTTGAAATTATACCATTTATATATGGTAAGTATGCATACATATAAACTAAATACTGTTCTCAATTAAAATTAGTCAATATGAAATTGTAAAAATTATTTTCAAATTATTTGTTTATATTATCCATAGATATAATCCATGATTTTTTTTTTAATTATTAATGATGTTTTGTCTCCCTTTTACTTTAGATTGCTTTCAACAAAATGATATAACAACATTTCCCGACATTGGAGAATCACTGATACATACATTAGGTGCAATAATTTGTGGATCACAGGTAAGCTTATTTCCCAAAGGAAAAACTATTTTAAATGTTTTGTATTTTTTCCAATACATATCCGTTTAATTATAAATGCATTTATATGTATAATTTATTTTCAAAATGTATCCTAACAAAAAAAGAAACGGTGTCGGTGTATATAATCCTATTTTTTCTAATTGTTTTTTGTCTTACATATACAAAACACCACTTGAATGTTTACAGAAAACATTAGCCTCTATAACAAATACAAATAGTCATAAAAAATCTGGTGATGGTTATACAATCTGTGATAATTTGGTGAGTAGTTATGTCCTATCCTACTGTATTTCTTTAAACTATGCGAAGATATTACATATATATGAATAATGTCTTAACTGATGGTGTTGATGGTCTCCATTTTTTGTCTATAAAATATATTTTTGTTATCTTTTTTTTCAATTGTGATCGATTTTAATCTTTTGCAATCCATTATTAAACATTGTATTTATTTTCTTAATTTTTCTCAAAACTTAGCGTAATGGCATGCGTGCCATTTGTCCAGCTACCGTATCGGTTTTAATGAAAATTCTTTCCCAATGGGAAACATCAAATAGTTTACGAACTATAACACTCCGATGCTGTGCTCTAATGGTCATTGTTTTACAAAAATCTAGTCCGGAGGAAGTAAGTCATATTTGTTTACTTTATTTTTTGACTTTTGTATATTTAACATTTTTATTAAGCCAATCTTATATCATCATTATTACTAATTTATATTTCACCATTTTCTTTACAGCGCCAAATAGATTTAGTTACCCTTATCAAGCTATACTGTGATGTTTTGGATGAACTTTTAAAAACGGACAATTTCCAAAAGAATGCCGATGATAGTTTTAATATAGCACCCGATGACAATGATCCCAATAATGATCAGACAATCGATGTTAATGCATTAGATGCCACCATTGACAATATCAATGTGTTTCTATGTGATGTCTCAACATCTGGATACATTTGTGAGGCCATTGAAGATACAAATTTGGTGGATATTTTAATAGCAATGCCTAAATCAATTAAAGAATGGAATTTAGATTATAATCAACTGCTAATAAAAGTAATAAAAGCATTAGCTTCGATAACCAGGAATTCAATACGCATAACCGAACAATTACGTTACTATGATAAAGTTAGTAAATTGTTTACCGGTCTAATGGAAGTGGGTTTACCCGCCAGCGATCTTTTGGAGGCATGCATTGAATTGGCCTATGACGACAGCAAAGGTTTGCTGATATTGCCCGAAGTATTGACAAAACTAGTTGAGTGGCTACCCGAGATGGATGCCAGAGAACAGGGTTTCCTTAGTCATAAAATACTGAAAGCCTGTACCGACAATTATGGAACGTATGATTTTAATTCTTTTTGAGAATTTGACGTGTTAATATATTTTATATTTTTTTTTCTAGAAAAACAATTGCCTGTGAGACTCGAGTGATCAAAAGTATCTGCCTGTGTTTGCAACATTCGGACAAGCTATCCGATCAATGTATACAAAATTACATTAAACTAATCGAAGAGTTGAGTAAACTAAGTATTATACCCATTGAATTGAAGAGTATTTTTAGTCTTTTACGCAAAGAAAGTAAATTTCCCCATCATAAACAATTGTTGCAGGTATGTCATTGATTTATTTTCTATTTAATAATTTTTCTAATCCATTTTTTGTTTGTTTTCTAGACCTTGGTCAGTGTTTCGTTACAATCACTGACAAGCACAAATTTGTGTTCTCAATATTTTAATTTTTGCGAACCTGGAGATGGTATTGTGGTAACCGATATTAAAAATTGGTCAATGTCTGGCGCCTATGGTTTTATATTTCATATATTATTACGTCTTGATAGTAATACGAAAAAATCTGATTCAAAATTAGATACTGATGCCAAAACGGATGACCAACAGCGTCAGGAATGCCGTAGAATGTTACTGAAGTAAGTGAAATTTTCATAGGAATTCGTATAAAATCTTACGACTAGATGAACAAAAGGGATATATTATAAAAAATACAAAATCATCTATTATAATTGTTGTAAACCCATCGTCTGATGGGTAAACACATTTCGATTATACCATTAATACCATTTAATGGAAAATTTTTTGTTGTGATACAAGGTGTGTGCATTGTTTGTTTGTTTGTTTTGTGATGTTTGGTTTGCTGTACTGCTGGGAAAGCATGAAGGGCTGGCACTGTCAAATAGTGACAGCCAGTTTGAAACCCTCGTATTTTGGAAGTTAAAATTAAAAAAATTTTCCACATTTTTTTATGAATACCATTTTAAAAATTTGTTTGGATGTTTATGCTTTTAAAAAACTATTGAATTAATTAAATCACACGTAATTCTTTTATAAATTAAAATAAAAAACATATAAAAATCTTATATGTTTTTATTGACAATTTTCATGTAATCGATCTGCCCACAGCACACAAAAGATCAACATCAAAAAATGTTTGTTATACACACACACACACAAATAAAAGCTAAAATGTCAATATAATACCTTTTAAAGTATTGCGTCTTCTATCAGAATTTCAACAAACAGAGAAAAAAGTTACCCATCGGCTGATGGGTATACACATTTCGAAGATACCATTAATACCATTTAATGGAAAATTTCAGCAAGGTGGCATGTTATCCTCTGAAGGGCTGGCATGTCAAAGTACAGCAAGTTCGTTTGAAATTTAAATTTAAAAAATGTAGATGTTCAATTTCATTTTATATTTTCTGTCTTACCTTTTAAAGTATTTGGTCTTCTATCAGAATTTCAACAAACAGAGAAAAAAGTTAGGGTTTCTATCTCGAATCTCCCAAGATGTTTATACCCTCGGCATCGAAGCATGTGATAAAGTAGATGTTCAATATTTTATATTTTCTCTTCCACTTTATTAATCTTCTATTATTTATCTCCTATTAAAAAAACGAGATCTGATTCTGCAGTGATCTGTTATGATCCCTATGGTTGTCCTTACCTATTTTCTACTCCCAGAAATTAATGATTTAAATCTAAGCTTAGAAATTTCTGGTCAGATGGATTTTTAGGTCCTATACCTAGATTCCCCATTCCATCCTGTTGTTACTTTCTTCTCGTAAAACCTGTGCCTGAAAATGAATTAATAAATACTTATATAACTATTATCTGTTCCATTGTGTGTTATTGCTATTATGTTACCCTTGTTTGTCTTTTTCTTTTCTTTTCAGTTTACGTACCGGCAGTAATACTGGTTTTGAGATATTCATACAAAACAATGGTAATATTGTCGTTGCTGCACTCACAAAACGTGAATACTTGACCTCATCGGTGGCATCAACGACCCTACTAGACGGTCAATGGCATTATGTAACGGTGGCTATAACACCGCCAAAAAGGCCTTTCTCCTATAGCCAAATAAATGTTTTCATTGATTTTGTGCAAAAAATAAGTGCGACTCTGAAAGTGGCAGCCATAAATGAGGTAAGCAATGTGAGCCAGTGAAAATGTTGGAGAAAAAAAGTTAATATTTTATTTTATTCTTTACAGCCTTTCTTGTATTGTTCAGTGGGTTCGGCTTTACAAGAAATAAAAACTCCGGCAGCCGCAAATACAAACAGTGGCAATTTACCAAGATCATCGTCCCAAGATACCAATCAAGGTTATCGCAGCATGCTGCCTAGTCTATTGGAAAAGACATTGTCATCGAATGTAAGTGGTTTTTAAATGGAAATGCACATTTCTATTGCCTTAAAGCAGTTTTATACACATTTCATAATTTAATTTTTTCCAAAATTTTTTATTGTTTTTTCTAGGTTTCCAATTACTTTACCCTACCCCTCAGAACACAATCGACATCATTTGATCCTAATGTCAAGAATTTCCCCGTTGGCATGCAGGAAACAGTATTTGGCGAACAACATTGCCTTGGCGGTCAAGTCGGTGGAGTTTTGCTGGCCGAACCCACCACTAGTTTGAAGACCATTTTTGATGCTGGCATTAATTTCTCTTCGATATTTTCTCAAGACAATGATATCTTGGAATTGACATCACGTTTTGTATTTTGCTATTCACCCGGAGCCTATTCACACAATACCTGTTTGGATTTAATACCAACTGGCAAACATTTGGGTTTGGTACAGGCCCAACATTGTGCAATTGTTAAAATACAAGACACCATTAATAGTGTGGGTGGAGTTCAAGCCATATTGCCCATCTTACATCGCATTATTAAAGAGAACAATGATGATTTCTCGTTGAGCGCAACCGATACAGACGCCTTGGAATCGGGAGAATCAATAAAAACTCCTGTAACCGAAGAATTTGCCGATTGGGAAATTTTATCCACAAACTCGTATACCGAATGGAAAATGATACAATTCCCATTGGCCAGCTTTATGTGTTTCATACGTTATCTAACACACGAACATGACAATAATCAAGAGAATTTATTGCATTCGGAATGCCTATCGATTGTGGGCATGATGTTGCAAAAATGTCCGGCAAAAATGTTTGATGTTAATGCCCTAATGGCCACCCACCTATTTATGGAATCGTTGCAGGGCCACAAAAACTCAGCTGGTCAGCCGAATGCAGCCCTATTGGAAGAACTCTACACCTCAATAGCTTTTAATTTTGATATTTGGGTTCGTATGCCGTTTCAAATAACACTGGGTCATGTGCAATACTTGGGAGCAATGATAAAAAATGATCGCAAATATTTTCGCAAAAAGTTTGGTGTACAATTTTTCCTCGACACAGTTCGTCAATATTATGGCATACCGGAGAATATAACACCCGAAGATGCTAAGACCATTCGCTCCACCATGTTTGGCATTGTTCGTTTCTATCTGCAAAAGGATGTTAATATCAAGGAGATTGGTACAATTATATCATTTTTGGCTTCGGTGAAACAGGATCATGTTCTAATTGAGTTTTTGGAGATCATGAATATGCATATTAAGGGTAAAAATTGTCGTGATCAGTTGATACTGTTGCTGCATGAGCCCCAGGCTGCAAACTTGATTTATAATTATTTTATAGATAAAAACTATAGTTGTGAATTGCAAGAAGCTGCCATAAGGGTAAGCTAAATCGGGCCTTGGCTCTCTACAAGCGTTTTGAAATTGTGAGTTAATTTAATTTTCTATTTTTTTTTTTTTTCAGTTTATTAGCAGCATCTTGTCCACCTCACGAGTCCATCCGAAATACAAACAAATAATGCGTTTACACGATCCCACCACAGATGCCTCGCTGTTTCCCGGGCTGTTTTCCTATACCATACCTATGGTGTTGAGCTCCACCATTCTCTTCCACTTACTGGATGAAATGTTGAGCCCTGACATTGATTATTGTGGCATAATCTTTTTGGTACACAATGTGAGTAGCTGTGAATTGCCGGTGAAGTTGGAAGTCGCCAAACGTTTACTGCAATGCACCTTTACTAAACAAAACTCCGCACAAGCCATAGCCAAACAACCGGGTTGGCAGGAATCCATTGCCCGTTTACTGATACGACGACCCATTGAAAATGTCAAACCCGATGAAGAGAAACGTAAGAGTTTTGGCATTAATCTGGATGTTTTGTTGGAAGATGAAAATAAATTCGACAATCAAGGTGACCTCATCAATTTCTGTGAACAACAAATCGAACAAATGGAGGCCCATGATCCGAATGAAAGTGGTCTAATATTGAATGAGATACAGGCCAGTGTTTCGGAAGCTGCCAATGTGTTGGAAAGTGAAATAAAAGAATTAGCTGACACCGTTTCGGGTGTGGTGGTGGAAAATGTTAGCTCTGTATTTTCGGTTATCCGACAAACAACTCACGATTTGCAGGATACATTTGAATCGTTGACCCATCAAACAAGTACCACAAGTAGTGATACAGTGGACACCGTGTTACCGGGAGTCACCAAACAACGCACGGAATCTATGAGTTCTGATAGTTCGTCGCAATCTGCAAGGGCGGGTGCCAAGAAAACCGACTCAATTGAAAGTAATTTGGAATTTTCTTCCGAAGCGGATGTGGATAGCGAAGAACAATTGGTATATTTGGTGACCAATACATTGTTTACAATATTTTGGAGGGGAGTTGGCAATGATCATCCCGAATGTTGGAAAGAAAGGGGTCAAGTTTTGGGTTGTATTAATCTATTGGCTCTTAACAATGAATTGGTAGCGTCACATTTGTCGTTGCGTTTAAGGATCTTGGAAATGGCCGTACAAGCATCGTTGTTTGATTTGGCAGAACATGGCAATCAAACATTGATCAATCAAGAGGTGAGTAAACATGATAGGAAATTTGGAAATAAAATATAAGAAGTATTGTATCATTATTATTTGAAAATAACAAACTGCTTTTTTCTATAAAAATCAAGACGATAGAGACTGTCATTTATTTATATTTTTAATCGCATTCCTAATTTCTTCCAGAATGCCTCTCATATCCTTCGCATGGTCTATGACTTGGTGGTATTGGGCTCCAATGAAGATGAATCGAAAAAATGCTCCACGAAATTATTAGATGGTGTTTTGGCTCTATTGGATGCATTAATGATCTTTCAATCCGATTCATCAGATGATTGGTCAGATATGATACGTCTATGTTTGGGTTTACTTTTGAAATGTTCCCATCATCCGAATCCCGGTGTTGTTGCAATGGCAACTGCTAAACTACATGCCATACTGCAAAGTCGTGCTGCAGCCAATCCCAATGAATTGGCCTATTTGTTATTTTCGATTAACAAAGCTTTGGATATTGCCATTGAGGGTAAGTGGACATTATTGGATATTGAAATTGTTTTTTTATTTATTGTCTTATTGATTTTTACAGTTGGCAATCCAGAACAATATTCATTCCTTATGCCCGTTATGAAGGCTTTAATTGAAAAATGTCGCATTGTTTTCAATTTGGATTCAGTATTACCCGATCTACCGCCAACATCATCCGGACCGGTATTTTTCAATGATTTCCAAATGTATAGCACCAGCAAGAAATGGAAGAATTTCATGGAGCGCATTGTAAGTAGAAAAAATGTTTTTTTTTAGTTTTATGCGAAAGAGAAAAAATATTAGGTTAAAACTGTCCTTATGAATAACTCATTAATATCGAAAGAAAAAATATCTGGCGTTTTGACCTCCATTGTATGTTATGAGGAAATGGTTTTCAGTTCCTACTAAATTTTGAATATATTCAAGTGAGAAAAAAGAAAAACAGTTTGCATTTAGTATACGAATTTTACTTCAGGGTATCGAATTTGCAAGGACATAGTTTAAGGAGTAGATTAAAATTAGAAGGCCTATCAGATCTCAAAGCGTTTTTAAAGGCTTTGAGAGCTATATGAGAGAAGTTTTTCTTAAATATTTTTAGATTTTATTGGAGCTAAAATCCTAAATTTTTAAACAACAATTTCAGAAACTAAGGTCTTAAACTCTCGATTTTGTCAAGTACTTTCAATTTTGAAGAACTGCCAGTGCTAAAAATGAGACTCAAGGGGCTGAACTATTTTCTGAAGACCTGTTTTTATAAAATATCTATACAGGCGGGAATTTCAATTTTTTGAAGCCCTGTCAGCAATATAAGATGATTATAAGAGCTCTGTGTAGACATCCTTAACTATTCTACCTAGTCTACGCAAATTCGACAATTACACACGGGGAATATATAGTTTGTCATCTAGTCAATGTCTCCTCAGAGGTGACATCAGAGTAATAAGGTATAATTATGATGTCCCGCGACAGGGGACAACAGAGTACAAAGTGTTAAAGGAAACTTGTTGTTGAAGGTCAAAGCTAAACCGCGTATTTTCAAAAATAATATATGTAAACACATTGTGATTTTTTCTTAAATGACAAAGCTTTAATTATTTTATTTAAAAACAAAATAATAATAAATACAATTTTTGTTTTCATTTAAATCTTATATTAATTGATAAATAGTAATACCATTTTACATGCTGCAGATTAAAAGTTTTAAAATAATTTATGATTTTTGGGCAAGTTACGATAAACCTCCGGATCGTTGAGAGGACTTTTGAATATGGTCGTATCGAATACATTTTTGGTTGTACGTTTTGGAAACCTTTCCACGGTCGTTGTCGAGGATGATGATGACGCCGAAGACGATGATCTTGATCCAGCACTAAGATGTGGTGCTATCGTGGAGGTGGCCGGTTGTTGTACTGTTCTATAACGATTTCGAACAAAGTTTGTATTGTAAATTTTCGGTGTTGATAGAATACCATCGTAATAGGTTCTCGAACGTGATTTTTCAATCGATACAATTTCAATTTTTGGCAAATGATTTGTTTGATATTGCACTAATGATGGTGGTGCTGGTGTGGTGGCAGTCGAAGTCCGAGTACGTTGATAGTGTCTGGGTGCTTCTGTTGTACTAGTTGTTGTTGTAGTTGTCGTCGTCGTAGTACGATACCTATTCGAATATGAGTTTCGATGGTCATTGTTGTGATGATAATTTTGATTTATGGCCAATGTGGTACTCGGTTTAGTAACACTCAACGTGGATGTACGAATTCTCATTGGATTCCATGGTCCATGATTATTGGGTTTCACTTCTTTCACCACCTTGTGAGATTCATCAATATCGGGATCTGTTGTTAAATATTTATTTTCCTTTTGTTTCTCCTTTTCAAAAGCTTCTTCCAGTTCGGGCACATCCAATATGTGTTTGGTTGTGGCCAGTGTGGTTGAATGATATTGTGACCCACCCTTCGTGCGTTTTCTTTTGCGAGTACGCTGTGGCAGTCCCTGTACTGGCGATGGTGGTGTAACATAGGTGGTTTGACTATGAGGCCGTGTACCCGCTGAATGGACATCCCCATGTGGCATTTCCTGTGACGATTCCGGTTCTACTGGTCTTTGTTCAGATACATTATTGTTGGGTTCGGCTTCATATTCGGTATTGGTGTCCTCTTGCCAGGCATTAATATCATATGGTTGTGGAGGGTAAACCTCCTGCTTTTGATGGCTAGACGAATCGAAGGGTATTGGATCGTAAATCGGTACTTCATAACTTGATTTGGGGTAATCATAGGGAGGGTGTTGATGATTTTGATCTATGGGTAGATCTTGTGGTGGGGCTGGTTCATATCGTGATGGTTGATGTGAGTCGGAAACTTCTTGGTGGCCCTGATTTGGATGATAACTGGACTCGGGATGTTCAGGAGCTGGTGCAGGGTAATAATGTCCCTTTGGTGGCACATTGATTTCATACGATGGTGAATAGGTTATTTCCACTGTGGTCTTTTGTGGATCTGGAGGTTCAGCAAAGTGGTGTTTGTTGTTATAACTGTCATAGGATGATGAAGGTTTGTGCTCTGGTACAGAATATTTATTATAATTATTAAAATTTGCCACCGGCAAATGTAGATCCGGTACACCATACTTGGTGGCTGGTATGCGAGGTGGATGCTTGGCTGGCATTTGTGGTGGGCTATAGTTATACTCCTCTTTGGGAGGTTGATATGACGAATACTGATAATCATGACCTCCCCCCTCATGTCCACCGCCGCCTCCACTTTCTATTACATGAGGATGTGATGAATGTTCCGGATATGAAGATGCCTGTTCTGGATGGTAAGAATAATCGTTGCCATGTGAACCGGTACTAGAAAAGTCGGCAGCATGTTCTGGAATTTTATTTGAATGATCTTCATATGCTGATGAAGATGATGGTGCATGATAATCACTGCTGTAACCACCACCTCCACCACCATGCGAATCATGAGAACTAGTTGCATATGAATGACCATGTTCCGGTAGATGTTCTTCTTCGTAGCTGTAACTATTTCCAGTGGGTTTGTCATAACCTGTACTATAGGTGAATTCCGTTGGCACTCCATATTGTGTATGAGGTTTCCGTTCACCCTTTGGTGCCGGATATGAATATGAGGGAATTTTTGCCACCTCTTTGTGGGAAACTTCTGCCGGTGCACTATAACTATATGAGGGCTTTTCAATCTCCTTATAGGCATGCTCCGCCTGCTCTTCGTAATGTTTGTATAAATCGAAATCCATACTTTGTGTCTCATAACTGGATGGTGGCAAATCAAAATCAGCCGATTCCACATTAATGTGTGAAAAATCTTCGAATATCGAAGAATCATATGTGGGCGGTGCATGACTATATGATGGTTTGGATTTCTTATAATAGATTGTGGTCGGCGGTTCGGCAAAGCTATATTTTATTTTGGGTTTCTTAAAGCGCTTGACTTTAACACGTTTCGGTCGTATAATATGCTTAACTATGGTACGTGGTGGATGACGCCTATATCGCACCAATGCCTCGGCGATTGGTTCCAAAAATGTTGAATTGTTTTCTTCGACTAATGTTGTATTCGTGGTTATTGGATTATTTGAAGATTCTGCCGCCACAAATAGGATACATGTGAAAGAAATCTGCAAGAAAAATAAACATTTGAATTTTATTACATAAACAAAAAATAAATTGAATAGAAATTGTTGATTTTCGTTTTTTGAAAAAACGAAAATCAACAATTTCTTCTTTTTAAAATATGCGTTATGTTGAGACAGTGATCTGTAGATGTACACATAACTGATCAATGCACCGTTGAATATCAATGTGTGTATGTAAAAGTTAGGGTTCCCCTTCCTGCTTCTGCATCGCTTAAATAATTCTGTTTTTAAATTTGCTGTTATAAGGAGATTTTATCTAGCTTATCATTTAATCTTGTAGTAGTCATATTAAGAATGTTGTTGTCAATCGTGTTGAAAGCTATATTTTTTTTAACAATGCATGTCTTATTGTCTGCAAACCCTTGAAGTGGCGGGCTAATTTCTTTATACTACAATATAAAAATTTGCATACTTGTAAAGAAATTGCCACGTAGGCGGTGGTAAAACTTAAAAAAAAACCTGTTAATTAATTTTACATAACAATGATTTTATTGTTAATTAATTTAGCTAAGAATAAGAATAAGAATTTTTAATATTTTCCACAATAAGTAATAAATCTCTTAGCTAAATTTTATTTTTATCTTATATCTTCTCTAGATCTACAGAAGTTTTTTTGTTTTTGGGAGCAAGACAGCATTTTCTAGCTATAGAAGAAATTCTATATACACTTCGATAACGATTCCGAAAATGGTTGTATTGTAAATTTTCGGTGTTGATAGAATACCATCGTAATAGGTATCAGAACAAGATTTGCTTGATTTTGCACTAATGATGATGCTGGTGTGGTATTAGCATCTGTTGTACTTGTTCTGGTTGTTGTTGACGCCGTAGAGCGTTATCTATTCGAATAAGAGTTTCGATTGTCATCATCAGATGGTGTTGGGTGTGATTTATGAGCAATGTGGTACTCGGTGTAGTAACACTCAATGTCGATGTACGAATTCTCATGGGAGTCCATGGTCCATTATTGACTTTCACTTTATACAACACTTTGTGAGATTTATCAATATCGGGATCTGTAGTTAAATATTTATTTTCTTTTTGTTTTTCTTTTTCAAAAGCCTCTACTAGTTGTAAGTTTTTCGTTTGGTGGTTCGCTGTGGTAGTCCTTCTACTGCTGATGATGATGTAATGTTTTCACTATGAAATCTTGTGCCCGCTGAATGGACATTCCCATGAGACATTTCCTGTGATAATTCCGGTTTCACTGGTCATTGTTTAATTTCATTATTATTGGGCTCGATTTCACATTCGGTATTGAGGCGGATAGACCTCCTGCTTTTGGTGGTTTATAACTTAGCAATTTGCAACAAATTTTAATTGAGAATATTCGGATTAAGATTTCTCGAAATCCTTGGTATATTAGGTATATGGTATAATAGGAAATATTACTGACATAAATCTGAGAAATATATTTGTCTAGTACGTTAATCCTCAGTCGACTCTTTCAAGGGGTCTTTTCGGCCCCCTTTTCCAGAAATGTCATTTAAATCGGGGTTGTAGAAGAACATTCTACAAAAATGTTCGCCATAAAGTTTTACTATAAGTCTCAGAATAGACCTTAGATTTTTGGTCTATTCTGAGACTTATAGTAAAACTCCGCCTAATCAGCCTAAACGCCAAAAATCTTAAAAAATTAAAACTCATTTTAGGGTTAAAACCGATCTTATTCTGAGTTTGTACCAATTTTTCCCACTAGATGTCGTTTCAGAAGGATAGTATAAATGACAAAAATATTCTCCATCAAATGTTAGCATAAGTCGCTGAACAAGAGAAATCGGTATATATAATATATACCGAATATAAAGACGTCAATTTAGAAATTTTTCATAGAAATTTCCCAGTACATACCAACAAGGATATGACGCTGTTATCATTCGTGTCATACGATATGAGATATAGTCGTCTGAAATTCAAGATTGCTTCAACTTCGACGACTACCGCCTAGAACTCTTCATGTGTTATTGATGCGCTAGCTGTGGTCCGCAGTAACATTTTCTTCACCGACTTCACTGCAGCCTTGCAAAGACCTCCAAAATGTGGAGCTCTGGGGGGGAATAAACTTGAAGTCTATACCTTCCCTTGAACATGGCTCTTTTATTACCTTTTTGCTGTCCTCACCAAACAATCCCCCTGATTAAACTCGTCGAGCTGGTTCTTAGCTACTACAAAATTCGTCACATTGAATATAAAGTGCGACATTTTCCACGACGAGCAATAAACCGTTTCAAAGCACCTATATATGAATCCGTTGTCAGATTTCAAATGAACTACCTTATACTTTTAATTTGGTAATGAACCCACAATGATCCACAATAGTCGACGCTGATTACTATGAATGGCCTTGGTGGCGTGACTCAGTTAGATGGAAGATTTCCCCATATTTGATTATATTCGGTTGGGGAAAAGAAATCCAATATTTTTATATGAACTATAGGACTGTAAAATGTAACATGATTTGGAATGTCCAACCATACAACAAAAATGCATCGTTTTGTTGTATGATTTGTTGCCACTTTTAAAGGCATTTCTCGATCATTTCTCCAATTTTATCGACATTTTCGACGACCGACCTACCACTTGGGCGAGGTGCAAAGCCAAAATTGCATATAATTGGCTGTTACAGTATCGAAACCATAAACACCATTCACAATTTTAGCTACTTGGCTCGCATTTTCTCGTTTGTCAAAGAAAATCTGTAAAATGTGCCGAATGTTCTCTTTGTTCACTTCAACTGAATGCACCAAACAAAAACAACAAAATATTTTTTAACTGCCAAATGTCACCCTGCCAGCGAGCACAAATCTGTTTGTAATTGTTTCATCGATACTGTACGACAAATCTATCCCCATCTAATATATGGGCCTTGCACGGTTACACCTCACACAGTTCTGTACAAAATTTGGGGTCATTGCCTTTCCTTTTATGATCCAAAACCTCTGTCTTGATGATGATGCCAGTAGTAATTGTGAGCCACAATGCTTGTTCTTCCTTTTGAATCATATCCAGAATCTGCTTAACAATAGGGTCGTTGTATGGCAGGAACATTGGGTGCTTGGCATCATATGCTAGGGTTCCAACCTTCCACCAACCCCTAATATCCCTTTGTCGTCCAAAAAAAAAAAAAAAAAAACTGAGTTAAGCTGTGCATTGAACTGGATTTGTTCAATGCACCATGTTTCGGAATTTAACATTTCGGTTCGGACAGCTTTTAATACAGTTAAATGTTCTGATCCAGCCCTCATATAAATTTTCCATTTATGGTTTACTAGCGGGGATGTATTTAAAACCCTATACCGACCATTATTAACATTTTAGAACCATTTAGTACATATGTTCTCTTTAGTACGCGTTTCAAATCTACCTCTATATCTCAACCCTACACACCCATTCCGACCGGAACAAAAATCTACCTCTATACTACATTTTGTGTTTTTTTTACCCTCTGTACATAATCAAATATAACTTCATAGCATAACATAATCAAATATAAGTTCACCCAAATCTAAATTGAGTATCAGTTAGTGCACAATAATAAAAATTTTCATAACAACCTACTATAAAAATCATAAGTACGAACCATTAAGTACCAAATTTCATGATGCGACCTCTAAAGGTTCACCTAAATCCGAATTTTACCAAATTTAGTTCCATTTAAGACACATTAATATAAACGTCCATAAGTACCCACCTCAACCATCCAACAGAAATCTTATAACCGATTTCATTTCCATTGCTTTCCATTATTATATACTTCATATAATCCAATGAAAAGCTTATTTCCCCAATTTCAGTATTCCAAACATATCGGTTCAAACAAATCCAAATAGTATTAAATTCTGTACATCCAAGTTTCAGGATTCCAATTTTATCGGTTGACCCACAATTCAAATTGTACCAAATTAAGTACACAGTAATACGAATTTCCAAAACTTCCTACATACCCCAATCCTACACCCCCGCAGTGATCCTAAATCCATGTTTCAGGATTCAAACTCTATCGGTTCACCCACAGTTCAAATTGTACCAATTTTAGTACACAGCAGTATGAATTTCAAAAACTTCCATCTTAACCCAAACCAACACCCTCTCAATGATCCGAAATCCAAGTTTCAGGATTTAAACTTTTCGGTACACCCACAATCAGGGTTTAAAATGCAGCATCAAAAAATATTAGCATTAGTCTTACAGAGCTACTGCTAAAAAATATTGACATTATGACTAAATCAGCAAACGGCTAGCTTTTTTAGTTCGTAGCATCCGTGCTAAGCACGTATTGCACATGCGAGCTTTTTTTGTTATGACTAATCGGCAGTACGACTACATATTCATATTTCGCTGCCGACGAATAATCAGCCGAGGGTTGTTTTTATGTTTGTGTGTTGCCAACGCAGAATTAGAAAAACGGCATTTCATTTTGTGCGTTTTTATTTAATTTAAGCTTGTCAAATCGCAATTAAAACTGTCAATAATAGTACTAAAAACTAAATAATATATTAAATTAAACTCTTTAGCAAGTATTACTAATTGTCTTTGTTCGAAAAAATGAAATTATCATAATCGCCATTTTTAATTATCTCATTTAATTTATAAAATTTCAACCATGGGCAACACTGAACTAATAAAAATTTCGGGTTTTGTTTGCTAAAAATCTTGCTAAGCAGCCACAGTCAAGGTGCTTAGTCTTCATTGTATTCCAGCTTTGGTTGTTAGTCGCGTTGACAATTATGTTGTAGTTGTTCATTGCTATTTTGTAGCTGCTGACAAGATCAAGAAGCTTTAGTTTTGCTTGCTAAAATTATTCGTAATGTATTGCTATTTGTTGCAGTTGTGCTTGGGTGTGCTGCATAGTTTGAGGATGAATTTAGTTAGCAGTGCACCAATTTTCTGTGTTTTTGCTATTTTGGCGTTAGCATTTTAAACCCTGCCCACAATTCATATTGTACCAAAATTTAGTACACAGTAGTACGAATTTCGAAAACTTCCTATACCTCAATCCTACACTTCCACAGTGTTCATAAATCAAAATATCAGGATTCCAACTCTTTCGGTTCACCCAAAAATCAAATCGTACTAAATTTAGTACATAGTAGTACCAATTCTCATACGCTCCTACATACCCCAATCCTACACCTCCACAGTGATCCTAAATCAAAATTTCAGGTTTCCAACTCTATCGCTTCACCCACAATTTAAATTGTACCAAATTTAGTACACTTAGTACACATTTCTAAAACCTTCTAAATACCCTAACCCTAAACCCCCACAGTGATCTCAAATCCAATTTTCAGGATTCCAACACTATCGGACTCTCAAAAATCAAATTGTACCAAATTTAGTACACATTAGTACCCATTCTCATAAACTTCCTACATACCCCAATCCTACACCTCCACAGTGATCCTGAATCCAAATTTTATTCCATAATATAGTTTCCCAAATCCAACACCGATTATCGGAAATTTTCGTACACATTAGTACCAATTTCATAAACTTCATATCCCAATATTTTAATTTTAATTTCAAATTACAACAGTGATTCTGACTCCAAATTTCATTGTTTCCGCTCTATCGGTTCACCCAAAACCAAACTGTACCGCTTATAGTACGATTTAGTACTTTTCGTACACATAAGAAACAAATTTGCAAAACTACGTTCATATCCCAATTTTAATTTTAATTTTAATTTCAAATTACAGGATTCCAGCTCGATTTGTACCTCCAAATCAAATTTGTACCAAATAGAATACCATATAGTACTTTTCGTACACATGAGTACACGCTTTCCAAACTGTCCTCATATCGACCCTACTTCTCAACGTTAATTTACATTCCAAATTTCAATTTTTTAGCTCACTCCATTCACATGCTACGAAATTGTACCAAATTTAGTACATTTCCGAATTTCCAAAAAAAACCTTTAGTACATCTATCCTACACTCAATCAA